TCGGGGTCGGTGCTGCAGGTGCTCCAGGCGGAGAGCACAGACCCCCAGGCAGGAGGAGGTGTAAGCTGGGAGTAGCTGCACTCCCCTCCTCCGCTGAGTAGCGACAGAGGAAAATATTGAGTAACGAGGAGCACAGGTGTATTTTGGAAGGGGTAAAACCCGCAGCCCACGCTGGTGTGCTGTCTCCCTCGGCACCAGCAAGCGGTGAGTTGTGCTTATCTCCTTCGGGCAGACAATAGCAGTCGGGCTGGGAAACTTCTACCTCAAACTGTGCATATTGTACAGGGGAACGAACGGACCGTGTTTATATTAAACAGCATATTTACATACCACTAATAGTATTTTATGAAAAGGGGGGGGGGGAGAGTCGAGGACCATTCTGCCGCTTGTTAAAAAAATTACAAGATGAACGCGGGGGGGGGGAATCCTGGCAACAACAGAAATTTACTGCACAATTTAAAAAAACGGCGACAAAGCCGTTTTTTTGCACAGTGTTAAGAGTTGTAAAGTTATTTGAAGATGTTACTTGCACACACGTACACACACGCAAATTAAAAAACAGGGGTTTGAGTAACACTGACCCTGAACCTGATTTCTGGTTTTGTCTGGTCTGTTGGAGTTTTGTTGAGAGAGTGACTTTTTTTATATTTTTTTATGAAGGTACTGTAAATATATCCATATTATAAATTAAAATATCTTAAGGGACTTTATTATTTTTATTTCCAAGTGCCCACGTGAATCTGCTGTTATTTTAGCACTTGTGTGTCGTTTCCATTTTCCTCTCTGTGTATGTTTTATAACATATTTATACTCTGGTGCAATTTACTACTGTGTAAGTAATTGGTCTATGTGCAATAAATACCGTTGCAGCACAAGCAAGCGTGTCTCTGTAGGTTTTGAAACAATACCTGCCTATAATGGGAAGAACAGCATTTGTTTTTGTCCAAAGATGGCTCAGATTACCAACACAGCTCTATCTGATGGCTTTTCCTGACACGGCGGTGTAAAAAACGTGTTCGAAACCCAATAAGGTTGTGTTCCTGTCGCACCGACGTCTGCTGACTTCCCTTAAAATTCATGGCTAAAGACAAGGTGTTTCCAGTCTGATAATGAATGCACTCGTTTTCTGTAACGATTCCTTTCTGGAATATATTCTGGTTTGTTGTTGTTGTTGTTGTCAGGAGTACGCGTCTGGGAGTCAGGACACCAGAATACCCGAGATTACAGAGGATGCTTAGTTTGAAAGCTGAAAATGGCCTCGAGCAGAAAGAAATCTCCGTACGGGATGCTCGCCACCCCACGAGTAAGTCCACCTCGTGCCGACGGTGGGCCCGATCCTGCCCGAGCGAGGCGGGCGGTGCGTGCTTGGCGGGACAGGGTCGGGGCAGACCCCTGCCCAAAAAGCAGACGGAGGAGGCTCGAGCACTGCGAGGGGAGATGGCAGCTGGGGAGTTGGTCGGAGGAGTCCAGGCTTTGGTTCCCTCTTACTGTAAAAAAGGGATTAACCTCTGAGGGAACGTCTGAGACGTTGCTGGAGCAGGGTCGGACTCTGGGGCAGAGTAAAACACTGCTGAAATCGGGGGAAACCTCTTCCGCTGTCACTGGGTGAAATAAAACTGCCCGGTTTGTAGACCGTGAGGCTGGCGGTCATGTGCAGCGTGGCTTACGGTGCAGCCACACGCCGCTTAGGGGCCAGGTTACAAGAACTGAGTGTTGGCTTTCGGGCTGATCCATGTGAGGGGGTACTGTGACCAGAAGGGCTGCAGGTTTGGGTCCTTGCTCCAAAACATTGTCATCCTTTATTTCTTTGGGGAGGTGCGCTGTGTCCTTGTGGTTTCATAAAGTTTTTTATTACTGCAGTGAATACATGGCAGATAGGGCGACAAAGAGGCAGCGTGGAATAGAAGTGAAGCCATTTTTAGCTTTATTAAACTCAGAAGTATAGTCAAATTAGAAATCACCTCCCAGGAAGAACACTTCCCAGAGTGAGTTCTTTAGGGTGGTGGCCAACGGTTTGTTTTGGAAACCACTTCTTCATTTTTTTTTGTTTTAAAACTGAAGGAATTTGTCTTTTGCAATTTTTAATGATATATTTTCATGAAAAAAAAAAAGTTATGCTCTTTATGCAAGGGCAAAATAGAGGCACCAGGGAAGTAAATAATACTTTTCCATTGATGTTGCTGGGGTTCGATGTGAGCTGCAGTTAATGATGTCTCACTTGATAATAGTCAAATGGGCTCCGTAAAATGCCGGGGTGACATCGGATCAGGTGCGAAGTGAAGTATGCCCTGCCACCATATGATTATTTTTTTTAATGTGGTTTTGTCTGTGGTTTCAGCAAAGACAACAGGACCGGGACTGCGACACCAGTGACTGCAGCGAGGTGTTGGCTGCGCACGTCAGGGTCGGGACGGAACCGGGTGGCAATGCTGCCCTCTTCCTCCCTCTCCTTCTCTTCCTCCTCCTCCTGTGCTGGGGATCGCAGCGAGCCAGGGCAGGACGTGGCCCATGCCTGCTAGGCAGGGCAGGGCAGGGCAGGGCAGGACCTGGCCCCAGAAGCCGGCTGGGAGCTGAGGGGGCTGTGGAGCCCCATCCTCAGCAGGGTGCTGTGTCCTGGGGATGAGCGGTGCCCACCTACTGCATGGACATTGTGCTGGTGGGACGCTCTGATGGGCTTGGGTCTCTGTCTCATAAATCAGTTCGCATGATTTTAACCATCCAAATGCTCGTGCCCTTAGACTTTAAAAAGTGATGAAAGTTGTGGCTCAACAGCATCCTTAGGTGGGAAATTCATGGCCAGAACTTGCTTGGCTTCTCCTGCCGAGTAGCTACGCCGGGTCGTGCTTCCGCTGGATGAGCGCAATGGCGTGAAGAACGTGAAAGGTAGGAGGAGTTTTGCGTGTTGGCCTCCGCAGGGCCAGCTGTGTGAGCGAAGCGGTCGGGCTTGGTCTGCCGTTGAGTTCTGGCCAGCCAAGGGCCTGCTGGAGGAGTCTGGTGGCTGGCACGTTGAGTCCCTTCGTAGACAGCTAAGATAATCCACCCGGCAGCGTGGGTGGTGGATGCCAGCCCATCTTGAACGGTGTAAAAGAGTCGGTGGCACAGTAACGGTGCGGACAGAGCGGGACATATGGCACACACGTGTGCGAGGAAGGGGAGGCTGCTGGCGAGCAGTCTGCCGTGGCTCACACTCAGAACAGGCTGTTCTCCGTGCAGGAGGAGGATACTCTGCAAAGTGCTACGGGGCAGCTGAAATACTCTGGAGGCAGTGAGTCAAACACTCACGATGAATATTTTTTTCTGACGATAACCAGACGTGGATTAGCAATTGGAGCTGCAAGTCGGAAAGTATAGGTGGTAGGCATGCGGCCGCACACGTACGTGGGCAGGAACGTAACGGCAAGGAGCCGCAGGCCAGCGGGAAGGGGAGACACAGGTGAAAGAGAAATACGCTTGGAGAAAACGTCCTGAGTCTGCCGGGACCAAAATTATTTGGTGAGGGTGCCGGAGACTTCCATATGCAAGACGCCTGGTTCTCAAAGGCGCCGGCTGCACGCGAAGCAGTGTTTGCTCAGCACTTCTGAAAAGCAGGCTGCATCTCTCCACATGCTAAAATGGGAATATATCGGGTGGAAAGCCTGGCTTCTGTTTTCCCTGTGTTCAGGGAAGGTAGGGAAGTTCCAGACAGACGGTGGGCTGTCGAGGTGCCGGCAGAAGGCCCTCCCCACCGGAAAGAGCTGCACAAAGCCCTCCTGCAAAATCACTGCACTTGGAGACCGCGGCCCTCAGCATCAGCTGGCGGTAGCTCCAAGCACGAACTCAGGAATGAATGAAACTGTGTACAAAAACTGTGGCTTAGACCTGGGACCTGAGCTGCGCCCACGGCACACGCAGCGTTTGACAGCACCAGCCGGGTGTTTGTGGTACAGCACGCACCGGGTCTTCTGCACACGCTGCTTTCCCGTTTGGGTGTGCACGTGTGTTCAAGTATAAGGACAACTTCTTTATCAGCTTCCCCCCCGCCCCCATCCCCTTAAACCGTATCTGAAGTCGAGGTTTTATTAATAACTTTTAAGTGGCTATTTTGCAAACCTTCCTTGTGCTGCGCGCTTTCCTAATTTATTGTAATTTCGCATCCGGTGGAGTGCACTCGCTTCCTTTATGTAATATATCAGCTGCGGGGCTGGAAGTGGTGCAGCTATGAACTGAAAGGGCAGGCTTTCTCGAGGCCAAATGCGGTCAGGCATCCTTGCCACTGGGAGCAGAATTTGACCTGATAATCTAATCTTACGTGAGAGAGTATCTCCACAGAAGTACTGTTACCAGGAGTAGATGACCTCTGCTAATGAAGCTGAAGCAATTAGTCCTTTGCAAAGCTGTCAATAAAATGTTAACTGCAAAACAACAGTTAACGTTGGATGGCTCAAGTAATGAGTGTTTTGTTTGCTGGTGTGTGTTAGGTGATGTGTTGGGAAATAATTATCCTTTGACTAGCAGCCAGCTTTGTACTAATCAGGAGAAGTCATGTTCCGTTTGAAGGATTATACCTAAAAATAGCTCTGTTGCCGCCACATCAACGAGTGAAATGAAGCAAATTCGCAGAGACGTACACACCTTCTTAATGTTTCATCCTAAAAATTCTTTGTTCAGCTGGAACTCTCTGTTTGATCCTGTCGAAAGCACTGATGTGCTCTCCTGCAGTAGCCCTAAGCGCACTCTCGCCGAGGAGGAGCGTTACCCTATGCGCCACTGACTCGCTTTCAGAGCCTGCCAAGTTCCCCACGGCCCCGGGAGGAAGTAAGGAGTCTTTCTCTTTATATAAACAGTCGCGTATAATGTAAGATCAACAACAGTTGTGATAATCGTCTCGCAGCAGAAATCGAGATGCTTTCTGTTTGAGGTGGTTGTACGCCTGCCCGGCTGCGAGGAGCAGCCGTGGTAACAGCAGGGGATTTACTCGTCCAGTTCAGTAACTTCAGGCTGCCAAACTGTGCTCGAAAAGGTGACCGACATGGGAAAAGGATGTAAAAGGTGATGCTGGCGAGAAAATCCAGGATTGTCATCGTAAGCAGCAAAAACTGGGGCATATTTGGCCATGCTATAGGTGTTGACTGGTAAAGTCTGAGTGGTTTGGGTAGGGATGTACCAGGCAGATGCACTGTAGAAATGCAGGTTAAGAAGAGGTAAGGAGAGGTAAGGAGAGGTAAGACTCTTTCCGTATAGGACTGTGCCACCAAGGACGTGGCAGCTGAAACATGCCCCAGACATCCCCAGACGCTTCCCTTCCTCTTCTGGGATAACAGCAGACGGCTAAAGCACACCTGAGCAGCCCTCAGCCGACGTAAAGCTGCACAGCTCCCTGGCCACCCATAGCTCCTGGGAAACGTGCCTCCCCCTTCCCCTCCGAGGGGCTCCAGCTTACGCCACGTTTTGCAGGACCTGGAGGTTTCCCCAGCCCGGAGCCATCATCCCCTTGCGTGGTGGCCAGCGGCAGCCCAGGGGGGATGCTGCGGGGTGCTGCGAAACGGAGGAGCGTTCGTGTTCGTTATGTAAACGGGCAGTCGGCTTCCTGGTTCACAAGACCTGGCAGCTTGGCACGCACGTTCGCTTCGCAGGCTGCCATTTTGCCTTCCCGCCCGCTCGGCTCCCAGGTTTGGCATGGCAGCGTTCGCTTGCTCGGCCGTAGCACCCAGCAGCACGGGCTTTTCGGCTGTGCCCTGGCAGCAGCCGGCATCCGGACACAAATGGTACAAGAAGCTGGGCAGTGTCTGGGTTCGGTCATACCCATTCCTTCCAGGACTGATGCTCAGAGTTATTCATACCGGCTGCACCAAAGTGCAAAAATACCAGACAAATAGGAAATGAGTCCTGACCTCCAGGTCCACAATCTGAAGGAGAAAACAGAAGCATCCCCAGACTTTTGCCATTGCCATGGTTGGCAGCCCATCTCAGACGTAATGTGTGCCTTTCCCTTCTGATCCTGTGTAACGCACCGAATCCGGTTGTCCTCAATGAGATTAAATGAGGATTTGTTACGAGTTCAGTGCTCCAGCCATTGGCCACCACTGTGTGTCTCGAGGCAGTGAGGCACCTTTGCGTGCCTGGCCCAGTGTCTCTCTCAAAGCCATGACATTTAGATTTCTTTCTACCCAAATTATTTTGATGATTGGTCTTAAGCTCCTTGGCACAATACTTTGAAAGGCAGATTTAAGTGTATACACCACGGAGGCAGTCAGAGCCACTAAAGAGCTCGAAATCTCAGCCGCTGCTAGGTGTGTAAATCTTTCAGCTACCAACAAGTCACTCTGCAGGGCCAGGCGAGCGCCTCAGAGCCTGTCCCCTGCCCTCCCACAAAGTGGGACCGCAGAGTACCCTGCCACTGTAAGGAGAAATTGCAGGGGCAGCACAAAACCTCGTGACGAAAGATTTGCCAGGTGGTAAAATTTAAACGGTGCTTCGTGGCCAAAATTTGAAGAGTGGTTGTTAAGAAGAAGGGATTGAGACAAGCCCCTGGCAGGGTTTCCTAGCAGGGAAGGGAGAGCAACGTTCAGGGTTAGAGTTTCCCTGGTACTCTCCGACCGGTTCGATGAGAGTTACGGATGCTGCCAGCACCCTGCGCAAGCCGCGCTGGTGGACAAGGGCTGTCCACCCCGGCCACCCCTGGGGCCAGCTCTCGGTGCTCCCCACCGCCCTCCCTCCGCTCACATATGGGGGTGTAACGTGCCCCCCCTCGCCCGCCCCAGCGCTGGGGGGGCTCGGAGGTGTGCTGGGCATGGAGGAGCCTGCCAGCCTGCGTCCCCCCGGGCTCGCCGTCGTGCTGCAGAGGGAGGAGAGCTTCCCCCTGGGCTGGGGCAGGTGAACTGGGAGGCGTCCCACGAAGCACCCGTCGTTCAGCAGCTGCATCCAGCCTTTGGCGAGGGATGGTCTGTTCGTCTGCTCTTCCCCTAAATGCTCGCTTGGGAGCCATCAAATAAGATCTCAGTTAGCATCCTTGGGATGCGAAGAAGCGCGGTGTGGGACGCGTTGGCTGGCAGGCAGGCAGCCTCGCGCACACAGGCTACGCCTGAAACCCCGGCTCCTGGCACAGGAGCATCCGATCTGCTCACAGCTCAGCTCGCCTCAAATACTCGGGCTTTTGGGAGCTTTTGTGTAATGTTCGGTGCAGTAATAGCCAGTGACAACAGGTACTGTAACACTGCTCTAAACGACCTCGAGTGCACCCACGGGAGATGTTTCGTTCCTGTTTCAGTGCCAGGTGGTTCCCAGCTAGCTGGCAACGGGGCGAATGCTGTCGGGGTCAGCCCTCAACCCCCCGCTGCACGTCCCGCTGCCCGGACTGGCTCTGCTGCCTCGCAGCCGCGTGGGCAGTGGGCTCGTCCGACTGAGCACCAGCTCTTTCAGAAAAAAGTTCGTTTCAGCTGATCCACGCAAGTTGCACACACAAGCGTAATGGCACGAGGGGAGCGGGAATGCGCAGAGCGATGGGGCTGAGATCGTGTTTTGGTAGCGGCCCCAGTCTGGACCCATCGCTGTGACCACAAACCTCCCATCTGGCCGTGATGCTGCGGACGCTGAGACCCCACCGGCACCCTCCGGCCTGTCGTTTTGCCTGACCTGCACTGGAAAAGCGGGACTCGCCGCCTAAACCTTCCCACCCTCCTTGCATATGAAAAGTGAAAAAAAATTTAGTTTTGTACAAATATTGGTGCGATAGAAGAAAAACATGGTTTAAGTCTGATTACCCGCTGTGTAACTATGCCACAGCGAAGAGGATGGGACTGACTCCTCAACTTTTGGCAGAGATCTGGACCAGGGGAGCTGAAAAAGCAACTCGGGGACTGGGTGACAGCACTAAGCTGTCCCCCGCTGCAAGAGGGTGACGTGGCAACGAGCCTTGGGCATTGGCAAAATAATGCCCCGGGAAGAGCAGCTCTGTTTGCCCGGTGTCTGTGTGTGGATCCCAACGCCGACAGGCGCCACGGAGCTGTTAGTGACCTGTGAGCAATCCCCATCGTGCGCGTCTCCTGGTGGGTGATGTCCGACTGCTTTTATCCCTGCGCACTTTGCTCGTGTGGGAGCAAGGAATGCAGTGATAAAAAGGCTGGAATAATTTCAGTGCTGGATTGCTTCCATGAGTATATGTCTCATAATATAATGCTGCCATCACTGTACAAAATCTGCTAAGGTGCCTTTTGGGGAGATGGAACATTTCTACGGAGCCGTAGTCAAGAAAGTTGTGCAGTAGAGCAGGCTGGGCTTCGATCGGGTGTTTTTTGATTGCACCGGACGTGCCTGGGCTTTTGCACGGTACAGATTTCTTTGCCTTTACATGACGAGGCACCTCATAAATTAAGCGGTTGATGTTGTCAAATGCGTGCCATTAGCACTCTGAGCAGATAGTCCATTCGGTGGCCTCAGCGGAGTCTATCGCAGGGCCTGTCTCCAGATAACGCCTGGAAGAAGAACAATGGTGCTCCGAGCTCCCGGGCCCTCCACTCTCTGGTTCTGCACTTCAGAAGAGAAAATTATCATTATCTGCATGGCTCAAGCTCCCTTTGAAATGCAGTTATTTTTTACTCATACATTCCAAGTATTTTTTACATGATACCAGCGAGAAACTTGAAACCCCTTTGAGAAGGGAAAGATTTCCTGCAGCCTTACTACTAAAGAAAATGGATAGATCAAGTAGTAGAGTTCAATGACTTATTTAGCATTAAAAAAGAAAAAGAATAATGAATTGGATTTTGTGTGCCTGTTTTTCCTCTGCAGGGAACAGTCAGTCTAATGGATTTGCGTTGCCTTCTGCTTCTGTTCATCAGTCTAGGTGAGTTCAAAACACTTCTGCCTTTTTTGTGCTCTCCTTTCCCTTCTCACTTGTCACAACCTCACGTATCTGGAGCTTAGCAAGCACATCGGTCTGCTACCGTCAGCACCATCCTGACTGGTGAGGAAAACCCGGAGGTTAACCCGCTACGTCCAGCAATGGCTTGTGGCCTCCTGCGTGGACATCTGTATTTTATGCTAGGTAGCAGCGAGTGGGCAATTCCTTACTCAGGGTGGACACTGGTTTCCTACTATTATGAGCTGAGGCTTTAATGTCCTCCAAGAGAGACATTATTTCCTCACTGGATTCACCAAAAACTGGTTGGGCCTCCAAACTCCTCCTTTGTTTACAGGCTTTGCCGAGCGCGCCGTCGAGCTTTTTACTGGGGAAGGAAGGGAGGTGGTGTAGGAGGAAACGGTTACAAAGCTGTTCAACATAAACAACTTTCTCGTGTAAACTCCAAGCACCACTTGGCAAGGAAGAGGTTAAAGCTGAGGGGACAACGGGAGGACCCATTAGGGCAAAGATATAAATAGCAAGTCGGGAAGCCTGGGGAGGGGCACAGGGGAAGGGGAAGCGAGGAGTTGACCCCAGATGGGGTGGACTCCCTTGGCTTGCTGAAAGCCCTCTGCTGCTCTGCGCTCGGGGTTTGGACCTGGGTCCTACCTATGGCGTCCCAAAGCAGGGGGATGCTCAGACAGAGACCCGCATGGCTGACCGGGAGCTGCGTTAGGTCGAAGGCGAGCTCGAATGGTGTTCTAGTCACCTGAAGACTTTCCTCAGAGCCAGAAGCCACTGCTGGTCTCGCCTGCCCCTTCCTGCCCCAAAGCTTCGCTGGGTCCACCAGTGCCTGCCCAGGGCCGGGGAGCTGCTCTCTGCCCGCTCGGATGGTTGGAGCAGGATTTCCGTTTTCCTACCAGCCTTGGTGT